ACCAAAAACATGCGTATAAACCTTTTGCATCTAAATTGGTATCTCTAAGTTATAAATTTTAGTAAGATTTTAGTATCTTTATTAGCTGATATCATATCTTAGCTCTTAAGTTAATATTATTATCCAATTATATACATGCGACATATAACACGTATTTTAAAAATATGTTTTCTTGTATGAAATCAAACAGTAAAAGCCTTTTTATCTGTTGTTTTTAAAAAATTTAAGGTTTTTTTCTTACAAGTTCATATTTTAATTATACTGTTACAAAAATAAAATTTCCAAAAAAATGACAAATGGTTAAGCATTTTATCTCTCATAAAATTAAGAAAAAAATAATAAATTCGTGTTTTAAAGTTATTGGTTCTTACTTAAATCGGGTTTCCACTCTTAATGCGCCGTTAATTTAGTCATAATTTAAACAAAATTCCTGGTTTAGATAAGCTTCTCGAATAACTACGCCTAATAGCGACATTTTTATAAATGCATATATACATGAAATACTTTGTGTACGTTTCTTTAATCTAGTTTACTGATGAATATAGATCATGTCAATAATTTTCTAATATATCTTAGAGAGAACCTTTCTTTAGCCTTTCTTGTGAAACGAAAATAGCCGTCTGTTTATAATATAATTGTTGGAATAAAATCTCTATTCTCCAGCACTTTAATGTCTGGAAGCAAATGATAGGCACTGGATATCAAATCTATTGAGCGCGATAGATAAGGAAGTGTTTTCAAGTGTACTGTACTTCATACAATTAGATCTTCATAACCAATGATATAATATAGTATATTATCTAAGTCAAAAAACACTTTTTCCTTCGCCATATATGAGCGTTTGTTCCCGATCTCTTTAAACATACTGATAATATATTTTTTGTTATTACTTATTTTTTTTCTTAAAGTAATCTATGAATGTAAAATTTGTGAAACCCAATATAGGACGGCTATCAACTTACCGTGCTTGATTGCTTTAGTCGTCTTTCGTCGAGTACTCTCAACTTAACTGCCGCCTTGATGTCAGTATAGTGGTAAATTCGGGTTGAAATTAATACCAACTGAAAAAAATGCAGTTTATTGCACTTTAACAGTTCTAAATAGCACTAGGAACTATCGTCATGTTATAGCAAAACATTTCTAATTTTGAAGCTCAGCTTTCAAATCATCAAATTTATATACGAATATATAGACACTGTCTTCTGATACTTTTAAAATGTCAGCTATCTCTGTGAACTCTATTTTGCAAATAAATGTAATAAAATTAAATATTTAAGCAATTTTATTTTGACTTAAAAAAGTGATAAAAAAAAATATTTTTGTGCAATAAATTTTATATTATATTGCACAAATATATAATATATATTTTTTTTTTGTATATTTTGGTTTGACTGGGCACGTGTGATTTGAGAAAATTGTTTCGAATCAACTCAACAATCATAACTTTCCAATCAGTAACAGGTAAAGAGGGTACAAAGATTATCAATTTTCAGTTCAGTGAGTTCACGACGTTGCTACCTTCAAAGTGACAATTTATTTATTTCTCAGTTTTTTGCAACCAAATAAAATCTAAATTCGTTGGAGACATACAGAAATTATTCTTTTTATCCCGTCAAATTGAATAGCCTCGCTACGTCAACATTATCTCTTTATATTCGGTGCTCAGCAATGCAATAGATTGCTTGGATATAACTTTTTTTTCATAGGAAATTTGTAATTACGTTAACTATTATTATTGTTCTTATCCATGTTATTTGATAAATTTTTTTTTTTAATGTGAAGTTATTATTTGTGTATTTCGTTCCAGAACTTGAATATTGTATTATGTCCTTAATTCCACATTAATATTAAAGAATTTGAAAAATAGCGAATTAAAAGGGCGGTAGACTGCGTTCTGTTGTGTCTTCTAATTTTGATATCTACATATAATAGGCTTCCACGTCTTCAAAATTCCACTTTAGAATTGTAGAACATGATACATAGCCTACTAAATAGATGGAGAATTGCGTTCTATTGTGTCTTCTAATTTTGATAACAACATAAAATAGGTTTCCACATCTTCAGAATTTCGCATTAGAATTAGGGAACATGATACATAGCCTACTAAATGGGTGGAGAGTTGCGTTCTATTGTGTTTTCTAATTTTGCATTAAAATTCTAGAACGAGATACATACCTCTATGTAAATAATCCGTTCTATGTTACGTTTCATTATGTTTTCTAAAATTGATTTCTACGAATAAATAGGGCTTTCAATTCTTCACAATTCCATATTAAAATTTTTGATAAGATTCTTGAATGGGTGGTAGATTGATAATCCACTTCGGAATTCCATATTCTCGGGGACTCACAAATATGTTGAATGTTGAGTCGAATTAATACCATCTTAACCAATATGTGGGAATCAATGTTTTTTTTATGAATACGAAAGACGAAAGCGATTTTTCTTGTTACTTATTTGATGGTACATAACTATGTAATAGTCTTTGCAATGGCTTTTGTTTTGGGTACCATCCATGGTCACCGACTTTTAAATACTAAGCGAACCTCAGTAGAACCTCTAAAATTGAAGTTGTGCAGCAAAAGACACAAAAATTCGTCGACCTACTTATCCATTTCTTGTTGAGAAGTAACATCTGAAATATTTTCATGATTTCATAATATTGATAATATTGATTGAGTATAGGAGAGCAAATAAATACCCATAAGTGACAAATAATATTTAGAATGCAAGAGAGGAAAATAATTAACAAAAGTTGCATTCCTCGCGGTAGTCAATTTTTAAAATTGCAATATCAAAGGTAATACAGGGAAAATTGAGAGGTTGCAATAACCGAGAAGTTGCGATATTCGAGAGTTCATTTCACTCTTTTCGATTTAAAAGCATTAACAAAGAAATTGTCTGACGGCAACATCGGCCCTTATTTCTTTCGAAATGAGGAAGGAGCTGCCATTACGTTAAATGGCGAGCGCCGAGCCATGCTGACTAAATTTTTGTTGCCAAAAATTAATCATTTGGTTCCAACAAGACGGCGCAACTTGCCATATAGCGCGCTTAACAATCGATTTATTGCGAAATTAATTTGGTAACACATTTATTTCTAGAAGTGGTCGTGTCCTATTAACTCTGGCCCCCTCATCCGTGCGATTTAACGCGTCTCGATTTCTTTTTATGTTGCTATGTTGTCATTGGTTTATGCCGACAAACCGGCAACTCTTGACACATTGGAAGCTAATACTCATGTCACCTTTGACGCCATACGGCCACATTGATTGCAAAAAATAGTTAAAAATTGGACTGGTGGAATGAACCCTGTTCAAAAAATAAATGCCATGCAATTATCTACCAGATTATAATAAAAAAATAGTTTCATTCCAACAATATTTCTGTCTTACATTATCATTTTAGGTTCTCATACAGCTAAGAAAAACATCCTATATATATATGTTAGAAATTTGATTAAAAATTATATAAAAATAAAACATATTTTTTATTTAATTATTTTTAAGTTCAGAGCTTGCAAAGTCGTTAATAAATTTGAGGTAAGAACTTAAAGTGATAAAATCGCTTAAAATGTCTGCTGAAGTCTGTAAATGACAATGTTTTAATACCCTGGAAACTGTACAAATAATTTTCAAGCCGTCTTCTTGCTATAGGCCAGCTATTATTAGTACGTGATAAAATTTTGTTTGGTTTTCTCTGTAAAACTATTCAAAATTTTAGGGTGCGGTGCACTTTGGCCATTGTTACAAATCAGTATACCTGCAAATTTGTAGATATATGAGTTAAGCTATTGGCTTTGGGTTTTGGTTTTTATATTGACTGACTTCAACTTCAACTTTTACTTGTGTACTGGGATTATTCGTTTTATTATCTCTGTAACAATTACATATTTAAAATAACTTGTTTTAAAATAAGAAAGCAAAAGACATGCCAAATTAAGTTAAAATGCACAAAAATACATAATAATAATGAAATGCAAAAGAGAATAGCCATTATGTATTAAACGAGGAATTACTTTTTTGCCCGGTTACACAGTGAAAAGTTTGCTCTGTACAATGCATTTCTGCATAAAACAAGTTTGCCGCCAACCAAGTGCCAAGTCAATTTTCAAAACCCATAAAAGCAGACGAACCATTAAATGTTTTAAGATCCTAAGGAGCCAAAGATCAATACATCGATATGCAGACTCAGTTGGTTTAGCGAGCGATTCGTTAGTATTGAAACGCCTGCCTTTATAAGTGCAAACAAGACTTACATTACTTAACTTGGTTTGGTTTGGTTTGGTTTGGTATGGTTTCGTTTGGTGCAGTGTGGTGTGATGTGGTGTGCTATGCTGTGTAGTATGGATTGCAAGCCGGTAAACTTTGCTAGACTACAGATTCTTTAAAATGCGGCTGTCAAGTCGACAAGACTTTAACTCATTATTTTTGCTTTATTTCTTATGACAACATTCCAGCAGAAATGCAAGCACCAGTGCAGAAAACGTACGGCAGCACCAAAAGCTATGTGCAATGATGAAGTGTGCACAACATGGTTTAGGAGTTCAATCCTATTCTGTTACGATATTCCGTAGATACTCACTCGCATGTACAGCATCTTTGTTTGGTGACAACGTAAGTTCGTGCCGTCGATTAATGTCGCGTTTCCTCTTTTTTTTTTTTATTTTTTTATTGCCTTAAAAGTCAGTTTACTAAAGAGTTATTGGCATTTGTTTGTGATTTACTTACTTATTTCTTTGTTTATTTTTTTTTGGTATAATCTGCTAAATTTTAATTAAAAATCAGAATAAAGATCCATCAATAATTGGACGAACGATATTGTTTATATTATTTGCAAATAATGTATTTAATGTAGAATGCTTATTTCTTCTACTCAAATAAAAGTTGCAAATCACATGAAATTCAAATCCTAGGGATTTTCATGAAATTCATAAAATTACCAATAAAGTTATGTTTATTATTAAACACTTTTATTATATTGTATATAATAAAATTTAGATAAATCTATAAAATAAATGGCTTCATCACGAAATAGTAAAGGCTTTGGATTACGTATGCTATGGATACCAGGACGCAAACATCAGCATCCGAAAGGTCGTTACGATTCCACAAATAAGCAGGTATCATATGCTGGAGGTAGAGGACAAAAAAAAAGCGAAATATGGTCCCTAGGCGGTAGCAGAACACATAAAGACTTATTAAATGCGTAAGTTTGGTGTTGTGGTTACTTCAAAATTCTAATTATTGGGAGACATACCCTAATAATATGGTTTGGCATAATAAATTTCATCAATATTATTATTTCGATGCTGATATTGGAGTAGTTTTGGAATCCATTTTCATTATACTATATAGTTCACAATAAAATTCATCGCACTTACACGTTAACAATATATTACACAATTTGTATTATATACCTTATTTTAATATATATCATAAGTATCATATACTTGAATTTGTATATATGTTACAAACTCTATTCAACTGTTTTCTTTACATAATTACTTGTATTATTAGTTATTATCATTCATTAAAAATATAATCTAATTTCAAATAATACTTAATATTAATGTTTACTTGAGCTCTTGTCATCAGAAATTAACTTTTAATTTAGCGTGTGATTGTCTGTCTATATATTTAAAAAAAAAACGCATATTAAAATACAAATTAAAAATAATTATAACGTATATTGTTTAAAGTTTTACGATTTCCAAAACACTTAACTTACTATTTTAAACTATTAAACACCTATTTTAAACATTAAAAACTGAGATGATAAGATGAGATATTACTTACTTTAAAATTAAAAATTATAAAAAAATTTCTATTATAGAATTTCTATACGTTGTAACCTTTAATAGAAAACTGAGAAAAATCATAGCAAATAGACAAACATTATATTTTTTAGTACCCAGTGAAAGGGATTTAACTTTTTAATATAGTTTTTAACAGACATCTGCTTGATATCTTCCACAAAAAAGATAAAACTTCCCTGTTCAATAGGACTAAAATTGGGGCAGAGAATAACCACTTGCTAAACAGTTAGTTGTCAAAAAAAAAAATTTTTTTTAAAAAAAATGTGCGCTCAAAATTGAGTCCATTGGGAGAGTTTTCACTGTAATTATATTACACTATATTCTATAAAAAAGGGAATATTGGGGGATTAACATCTACTCTTGAGTTATATTTTCGAAATGTTTTTGGATAATAAATTAGTTAATTTAATTATTTATTTAAATTTTATATAATTAATAGTTTAGTAGTTCACTGTTATCTTACACCACTAATATATTAACAGTTATTAAACAATATAGAGCTAATATAATGCATTAATAAGATAATATAATATAAGAGTGGAAACATCTAGAGAAAAAAATACAGAATTATAATAAATTAAAATTATTAATAGATTTTTAAATGATTCGAAGAATTATAAAATATTTTAAACTTGACTTTATAGAGATTTGTTATTATAGGAAATTTTACGAAAGTACCCATCTACATCTCAAAATCTATGGTGTTAGTCTATAATCTATAATCTAATCTATAATCTATAATGTTAGATGAATTTCTACTGTCAGTGTAAAATTAGTTTCAGTATGCAGCGCGTACTCTGTAATTTGACCAGCCAACAGTAATCTTTTTGTGAATTGTTTATATAAAAATATTGTTTATTTCAGCAGTTTGTATTGTATCGCTTGTGTTTCTAAACATTTGCATTGAGAGATACATTTTATTCAAATATGAGTCTATTTGACGTACCGCGAAACCCAACTAACTCTTTTCAGTACACAAAAGAAATCTCAGCTTCAGCAGCTCACATCGGAAATGTTAAAAGCTTTATATTTTTGTATCTCAGTACATGTTTTGCTCTGTTGGTATATAACAGCACTCGTGTTATATAGGTACTTTTACTATTCTTAGCTGTTATGCAAAACACATTAATGTCAAACAAATATTTTATTTTGGTAAATATAAAATAAAGAAATATACAAAATATTAATTTATTGCTAACTTCAAATTTGCCGTATTCTGGAATTTGTGTAAAGTCAAATCTAAACAAAGATGCGCCGTATTTGTGTAAAAATTAATAAAGAATATTGACTTCGAGACGTAAATTAGTCATTAAATGAGATTTGAAAGAACGCTTCAAAGGTTTTTGACTTATATGAATCTTTAACTGTGGTTAGTGTTGTTCTTTATTAAGTACACATTTAATTTTATATTATTTTATGGACATACAATTCATCCAAACAAAACTAAATCATTGTTAATGTCATTTTATAAACTGTGACATCATCATTACCAAATGTTATAAAATTATTGCAAAATGTAAAATATACACCAACAAAAATTAATAATATTCATTTAATTAATTCAATTCACATCGCAATAACCTAATATTATGCTTAAGTATTGTTATTAATAAATTTATTTCTTTAGCGAACCGGATACATCATTACTTGACGGACCTTCCGGTTCAGGCTTAGCTCCTATTAGCTGTGCTGCAATCGGTGCGGCGGCAACATGTAACCCAACCAGCAGTAAACCGGCAGATTTAAAAACATCTGAAGAGAATTTATTAAATTTACCAAACACCCCCAATAGCACCTCATCCACAGCCCCTTTGGTGTCGATACCAAACAGTCCAGAGGCAGTAGCAACTTCAACAGCTGTACCGACAACAACACCTGAAAGCACAATGCCTGCTAAAACAGCGTTGCCACCTATAATTGTCACTACGACAACAGCTGAAATATTTGAATCACGAGTAAGTCATTGTTTGCCTAGAAATCAGTTTATTGACGACTAATTTTGTACCCGATTTCATTTCAGAAAAATCGTTTTGAAATTCTAAACGAAATTGATAGCAATAATGTTGAAATTGACGAATTACCCCCAATACCCAGTAATTTATTATTGGATACATCTGGTGGTACAACCGCATCTGCTGTAACATCACCCTCGACTTCGCCTATACGTTCAACAAATAAACGTTCGGATTCACCTGAGAAGAAGAATAGTCATAGTCGTCGTAATCATAATAACAATCATCAGGTAAGACAAGGATTTTAGATCAAATAAAATGTTATATCCTTCAAATAGAAATGCTAAACATGCAGATACTTGTTCAGATAGTAGTGGTCCATTACTCCGCAAATAGTACTGACAAATCGATATCACGCAGAAGATTTCGAATTCTATAAAGAAAGTTTCTGGACGTTCATTTGCGTTCAAGCTACTCATTGTTACGTTGTCATACGATCCTTTATGCGTATTCGAATGTTAATTTATTCATGTTAGCTAATTAAGGTAGGGTGAAGACTAAAGAAATTTTAAAGTTACATAACAAGTCATATATATAATTTTTGTCATCTTTTGACGCGTCCTCAATCTGTCTACAGAACTACTGAAAAATTTGTGATTTAAACGTTTTTTCTATTCCCTAATTTGAATCCATAAGGTAGTTTAGGTTAGGTTGCTGTGGTGCCCTTGTGCTCAAAGCACACTTGAGCTCAAGTAATGATCATGGATTAGCGTTGTTCGCACGCAGAGCAAAAGAACCGCAGTTGTTAGCATATGAGCAACGCCGAAAGGCTCAACTCCCCTATTCGAGAAAAAATGAATCAACCTAACAAGTCTACAAACTTGACCATGTCCCTAATTTTACATGATGAGCGCAGGACTGTACGGGCTGAAATCAATTGATTAATACATAGATGTTAGACGTCACTGCGGTGTTACTACTTAATTGCTAATATTACGATCACTATTTCTGATATGCATGCATTTCAGCGCCTACACTAGCCAGATCTTGGCAAGTTTAAAAATTTTCAAATGCAAATGTGTATAATTTTGTTAGTGAAGAAGTATGCAAAAATCTTGTCATAGTGAAACCAGTGTAGACGCTGAGTAAACGTTATGAGAGGGAAAAGGTTTCTTACAAACGTGATCCCAAGATCATAAGTGTGTATATAATCATAAGTATGTATATAATCATAAGTATGATAAGTATGTATATAAAATTGCTTGACACTCATTAATGATGTTTGTGAGGTATCATTCTCTTACAAAGTTTATCAATTTAAAAATAAAATTATTGTGACATGCAGGTCAACGTGTTTCTACCCTTAAAGCTTGCCTAATAGCAATGATATAACATAAGTTACAACAATAACAGCGTTATATTAATTACTTTAAAATTTTAATTACAAATTATAAATAATTTGTGTTTAAGAAATACAACTAAAAATAATGTGTCGCATCAAAACTAATAACCCAAATATAAAACTTTATCAGAAAATATTTACAACAGCAATAGAGTCGTATTAATAATTTTATCAATTAAAATTTTATTTTACATTATATGTATGTAAATTTTTTGAAACAAATACAACTAAAATGATATACATCATATTGAGTCTGATAGTCAAAATATATAACTTTATCAGAAAATATATAACACATTTTTTTTATATACTAAAACATATTTTTTATTTTTATTTCTAGGAAGATGTTAATTCTATCGAAAGCATTGAAGATAACGCTGTAGATGAAAAAATTAAAAACTTAGATTGGGTTAATCAATTGCAGGAGGAACTTAACAATACACAAGCGACTCTGCCGAAAACTAAAAATAAAAAAAAGAATAAACCCACCACAGCTAAAGAAAAGGATCAACTCGACGGTGTGCCAACGAAATCAAAGGGAAAAGAATTGCCACCGGACGAAGATGAAAAAGTGGTGAAATGTCTGTATTATACATTGATGTGTTGTGATTGCTCAATCTCTTAAAGACATTGCACAAGCACAATAACTTATTATAAGTATAACACTAAACATTAATACTTCTTACATCATTTTTTATAGTATATATATAATGTATATAATTTTTTTTTCTCTCACTTTTTAATAAATAAGCATAAACTTAGACTATAAGAACTTTAAAAATTGAATTAGAAAACTAAACAACGATTTTATCGTTAAAGCAGTTAATCAAAACGAACCTAATGAATCTCTTCAATATAATTAAATTAAATTACTTAATTAAGTAACATTTGCCAAGCGTAACAATAAGTATTCCTCTTAATTACTAATGAAATATATGAATTCGATAGTTATAAGTAACAAAAAATTAAAAAAGAATAAGAAAAACAGAATACAAAAAAACCATATAACATTAGGTCATATATTTATTTTTGATATAACGCTTAAAAGTTTAATATAAAAAAAATAACATATAAATTTTATATAAATATTGAAAAGAAGAAAGATAAAAATTTTTGAGATTTTTTTATATATACATAATCAAATAGATTGTGAAAATTTATAGTTAATAACATTTACTTATATATGAATATTTTATATAATACAATATTATATTTAAAAAAAAAAATTATAATAAAACTTATACATATTTACAAACTGTAATAAAACTTTTTATGGTTTAAATATAATGCTATTGCTATCCACAATAAGGTATTCCAAACTGATTCCAACAAGAGAACAAAATGTGTATTCATGGCACCAATACGCCAATGCCAAGGTAACAATTTGTGCATTATCGTATGGCCCACATACATAATAATAGCATTTTTACCTGCTTCAACAAATGGAAAACCAGTCCACCAATGTTTTATATCAATAATGAAATAAAATACGCTCAACATAACAAAAGCAAGTGATGATGTGATGAATACAAAAGACAATGACCTGAAAGTAAGCATATAAAAAATTAAAAAAAAAAAATTTAAAGCCAGCTTAAGTATTTACCATAAATTTTTATTAATTGGTATGAGTCCATCCTCCTTGGTAAAAGCACATAAGGCACCACCTAACAAAGCCAAACATATCGACCAAAGTAACCAACGATTAATACGTGAGTACCAAGCATTATGTACTAATATAATAACGCCTGCTAACACACCAAAAAGTACTTGTACAACCGTTAATAAGCAACCTAAAAAATAGTACTGGTTTTTTGCAATATAAGAAAGTAGATTGAAGGAACTTACCGAATAAACCTTCTGGATCAAATGCCTGTGAATCATAAATATATTTTGCTGTTGGATGTTGGTAAATATGTGAATCACCTAAAATCTGCAAATCTATATAACCTGTAGCCCCACCTATACAAGTGACATAAGCTGCATTGTCATGTTTTCCGCCTGGTCCCAAATATCCTCTGCGTATGGAAATAATAAAGAAAATCAATATGAATTACTTATCTCAAATGGTTATGTTGTATCGTTTATTACCTTGGACAATTTGGTACATAAAGACCAAAAGATATGCCTAAATAGATAACGATCAGAGTTAACATTGTAATAAATTCTCCACGTAGTAAGATCAAATCGTAAAGTGTACGTTTCCAAGGTACCTTAAATTTATTGAAATGTTAATAATAACATCAAATAATTTAAAAATATCATATCATAAAATAGCATAATTTAAATGTAAGTTTATGGAAAACCAACCTGTGGCATAAGTATTTGATCTCTTTTGCAAAAGATCGTATGTACAATTCCACAAACTAAATATGCAATACCAAATCTTTGCAAAACGCCCATTACGCGTAATTTTTCTAAATTTGGTCCATTAATAGAATTTAAACAGAGTCCTATCGCAAATAACTTTAGAGAACGCTATAAAAATAATTAAAACTAATTAACAAATAATCAATATGTTTGCCTCATTATTTATGTTTAAATACCTCAATTATTTTAAGACAAATCTTCAGTTTTGGAACACCTCGACCCATTTGAGATTTCACTGATATTGGTATGCATACACCCATTATCCATAAAAATGAAGGGAATACTACATCAGCTAAATGTAAACCATTCCAAGGAGCATGCTCAATCCACCAATAGTCACCACCACCACTGTTTACAAATATCATGAGGACAATTGCCACGCTGTAGAAAAGAATTTAAATATTATTAACTGATATTTAAGATACATTCGTTATACAAGTAACTCACCCCCTAAATGCATCTAAACTTTGCATACGTCTCCTTTGTGCTGTGACTGCAGCTTCGTCAGATTGTGATTGTGCATTTTCTGCAACCCTAACAGTTTCCTCATAACGATATGAACGCCAAGCACAATTAGCTATCTTGATGACTAGTAGAATTAGGCCAACCAAAACAAAAACAGATAAGAGGGCTATAATAGAAGAATTTAAATTTAATCTTAATCACTTTTATGGTTTATGATGAATGAAACAAATTTATATTTTTAAATAAACGAAACGATAGATGTGAGAGTTTCAATATAAATAATAATGTTAGAAATATTTATAAATGGAATTTTTAATATTATTTGTTATAATGCGACATTTTAATATAATAAAATAGATCCTTTTTATTTATTATGATCATTTTACTATTCAAACAGAAGAAAAATAAAATAAATCCCATTTTATGTTCATGTCTACATTTCTGTAAGCATAGAAAATCTATCTAAACGGTCTCTACAAGAATTTGGAGGAACTCACAGTAATTATTATTAACGAACTGCATAGGTTCTTACACCGCACAGACTGGATCTAATAGTGCTGCCTTGACCGAATAATCAGTTGGTATGGAAGACGTGATAGCAAAACAGTGCAAAAGCTCTGATTGAATTTATAAACTGTCAGCACTTTAATCAACCATCATGATCATTATTGGTTCTAAATAACATTAACAAGAACAACATTTGATTAGTTGGAACTATATAATAAACAACTATATTCTAAAAATTTTTGAAACATATTGCGTTTATATCGTGACTAAATTCCTTAATAAGAATATAGCAATTAATATATATATTAAATCAACCACTAGCCCCAGTGATATATGTAGAAGCAAATGGCATTGGATAGGGCATTTTCTTTTATTGAAAATATTGCATTTCTTTCAGATGGAGCACGACTCTACTCCATAATTGTAAAAGAGAACAATTGATGCTTAATAGCAAAGTGGGTAGCTATTATTAAAGTAATATCAGCCTAGATACACATAACAGAATTGTATAAAAAACTATGATCGTGAGGTTCCAAGAACGGAAGACTTATCGCCAGCTATGACCAAGTGCCGTTCAACACCCCACAAAGACAACACAACACAAACAGGTTCCAGCGGGTCACAACAATTTGGAAACTCTGTACTTTACTAAGACAAACGATACATTTTACAGATTTTGTTTACTTACAAAAGTTCACATTAACTCCTTTCTTATCTGTTTCAAAAGTGTTAGTACCATTGTCATAAAAGGTGAGATTGTACACACCAAATTCTTCCATAATCTTCTGAGTATAAGTAGAAAGCGCTGATCTGCATAACAAAATAAAGTTTTTAAAAAATATTGTACATTAATATTTAGATTTATACAAACTCATTATCAAAAGCATAACGTCCCACGTCCTTTTCAAATAACTTGAAACTGTACGGGTGTGCCGTGTTTATTTTTAAAACATTATTTGCGTTAAGCTCGAAACTTGTTTCATTATAAATATTCGGCTGCAGCGCTTTCTCTTTAGTGTAAGGGCACTGAAATAACAAAAAGTAAATATTAACTGAAATGTTTAAGAAAATATTAAAAACAAACCGTGTAACAAGCATCAGAAAGCGTATATAAATAGGTCACTTTATTATAAAAGGATTTTAAGATAATATAAGCTTCATCCACTTTTAATTGACGCATATCAAGGCCTCGCCAAACTGGCACCGTATATTCCACAAATTCCGACATTTCGAGCTGCACAAATATTTTGAAGTAACTTTTATTATGAATAAATATTAAGAGGTTTTAAATAAAAAAAAATATACTTTTTCTACATATTTTAAATATGCGTAATTTTTAATCTGCACTATTAATAAAAAGTTTAGTTTAGTTTAAAAACATTAAATTGCAAAAATACATACACAAGGTTATTTTTTTTTTTATTATAAATCGAATCGGATTCGTTTTGATATGCAAAACTTAAGTATTAAGCATAAAATGGAAATATTTTAACATTTCAAAAAACTTTCTAAAACAAATATGCAAAAAACAAGAAGCAACAAGCGCGACTTGATGTAAACTTTGTAAGTGCAATTTTTGGAATGTATTAATCGGGGTGAACAGCTGATTCCGCTTGTAATTTGCAACAACAAAATGTAAACAAAACACCATAATCCACTATTTAGTGATGCCAGAGCGTCAGATAGATGTACGATTGGTAAAATACACCAAGTGCAAATGTAATTACTTCACGCATTTTTTATAAAGTTTTTTATACAATTAGTGATTTGACAAAATCACTAAAAACTCCTAAATAGCGTTAATTTTAATGACAAATTTATTTTAAGCTAAAATAATAAAATCTGAGTTTAAAATATACGTTCAAATTCAAAGGATCGCCACTGATACTTTTCGAACTGTGGTACTAGAATCCACACTTGTAGTTGTTTGATTATAGTGGCTAATCGACAGATATCCTTCTCTCTGACTTAATAAGTAATTATGAAATATTTTAAAATAATTGTTCTCGCAATAACTCCTGTAGCTAAACAAGATCCATCCGGTTGAGTTTATGCAATATAACGGATTCATATTTCGGACTACTATATTTTTTTAGCAATAAGCAATGAATCATAATTTCAAACTCTATTATAAATAAGTGGGTAATCCAAAAACGTAGAGAGTTGGTTGTATCATATTAATGTCTTAGAAACACGTTAGGAGTTTAGCCATGGCAATTTATATATATTTGTTCTGAAATATATTAATATATACATAAATATTTATATCGATATTTATAAATATTTATATTGACATTTATAAATAATTATATTCATATAAATACAAATATTTATGTTGATATATATAAATATTTACATTGATATTTATAAATATTTATACATATTTAAATTGATATATATAAATACTGCGTACCCTATACGCTATAAAATAAAGAAAAGCAAACAATAAAGAATATTCTAATAATTATTATTATTAAGACATATTCTTAATTTACAAAATAAATCTCGAATTTAGTCTATCACAAATAATTGGCACAAATTCTTTCCATTCGTACCTGTTTTTAATAGAAAAACGTAACTGGCTAAAAGTTTTCTGTGTTTCATTCAATATTGTCCTAAGCCAAGTATTTTCGAATAATTACGTGAATAAATTAAA